GGAACACCGCGAGGGACACCGGGAACACCGCGACGCACCCGGGAACACCGCGACACACCCGCGACGGGACACCCGGCCCTCGCGCGGGGGGTGCTGCGGTGCGCGGGGCGGCCCGGTGTGAGGGGGAGCGGTGTAGGCCCAGCCGGGGCTGCGGGAGCGGGGGGACTCTCGAGGGGTCGGGGGGACCCCGGGCTGGTGCGAGGGACCCCCCTGCGGAGGAACGGGGTGCAGAGACTGCCAGGAAGGGACCTCCGGGGTGAGGAGATCCCCGGGGCGCGGGCCGGGGGCGCGGTGGGGCTGAGGCCGCGGTGCGCTCGGGGCGGGGGTGTCGGGTGTTTTTGGGGGCGCGGGGATGGGACACCCCTGGGTGGTCGCGGAGCCGCGGGGGTTGGGGCGGGGGGTGTCGCAGTGGCACCGGGACGCCTTTGTCCCGAGTACAAGCGGCGGCGGGCTGGAATCCACTCGGAGCTGCGGGTGGACACTGCTCCCGTCCCTGCTCCTGGGCCGGGTGGGTGGGCAGAGGGGTCAGTGCCACGTAGGCACTGTCTGAGCTCTCTCTCTCCCGTTCCCCAGATGAGCCGTTTTCCAACCCCCTGGCCCCTGATGGCCACGATGTGGATGACTCGCACTCCTTCCACCAGTGAGTACAGCTCTGGGGCACTGGGCAGCACTGGGGTGGGACTGGGCCAGCAGTATGAGACCCCAGCCCAATGCTCGTCTAGAAGCTGGGACTCGCTGGTGCACCCCATCCTTAAGACCCCATGCCCATCTCTACCACACAGGACCTGCTGGCAAACCCACTGCCTCCTTGGAAGCTGTCCTGCACCAAAGCTCTTTGGGAATGATGGTTTCTGTTGCCTCTCTCCCTTGCAGATCCAAGCTGACCAATGAAGACTTCAGGAAGCTCCTCATGACCCCGCGGGCTGCGCCGACATCTGCGCCACCATCCAAATCTCGCCACCATGAGTGAGTAGGACTGTTTCACAGGACTATGGGACAATCCAGGCTTGCTTTCCTGCTTTCTCTCTGGGGCTTCATGCTCAGTTCATGCTCTCCCCTGCACTCTGCAGTGGAGTATCTAAAGGGGGTTTTCCTGATGAGTGTGTGAAGTGGGGAAGCACGTGGGTCACAGCTGCTGTCAAAACCAGAATGAAGTTCATGGCTGTTAAGACACTTTGTGCAGGAGGCAGATTTGGTTTTTGTTTGGTGAAAATCAGTGCTTTCCCCTCCTCTCCCTGCTGCAGAGTGGAATTAGGGAGAAATTAGGGAGAGGGACTGTGCTTTTCCATCTTGGAGCTCCTCAGTGCCATTCTGTGTCTGAGGGACTGTTCTCTCCATCTGCCATCCCTGTGGCTCTGCAGAATACACACGTGTTTTCTCACTCTTTTCCAGGATGCCCCGGGAGTACAACGAGGATGAAGATCCAGCTGCTCGCAGGAGGAAGAAGAAAAGGTAAATGGGGAAAGCATTGTATCAGGACTTGTCATTATACATCGTGTCCCTCCCATGGAAGGAGCTTCTGAGCTCTTGAGCTCTTAAAGAGGGATTATTTTGGAGCTTTGGAGAAAAGCTCAGCCTGAGGGCCTGTCACTGCTTATGGGAACAGCTGTGGGAGGGCAGCAGCAGGATGAGGGTGAAGCTTCACCTCCAGAAGAAGCAGGAGAGGTCTGTGGGTGTCTGGCAGAGGAGAGCAGTGGTGGGGCATCTGTAGTGGTCACTGTGTCCTTTAGGGCATGTCTGCACAACAGGACTGTGCTGGACCCTTTCTCTTTGGAAGGGAAGGTGGAACTGCTCTTTAGTTGGCCTCAGTACAGCACTTTGCTCTTGCCTGGTGTTCTCCATGCACATTGTATCCCATGGCAGTTTATTATGGGTTTGGGAAGGGGGTTGGGAGCAGGACAGACACATGGAGCCTCAGAGGCTGTTATCTGACCCCAAAAACATGAACGTGTCACTCTTAACCCAGAGGTGTTTCCCACCTCCAGCTACTATGCAAAGCTGCGGCAGCAGGAGATCGAGCGCGAGAGGGAACTGGCCGAGAAGTACCGGGACCGAGCCAAGGAGAGGAGGGATGGAGTGAACAAGGACTACGAGGAGACGGAGCTGATCAGCACCACGGCCAACTACAGGGCTGTGGGGCCCACGGCCGAGGCGTACGTGAGCTGTGGTGGGGCCTGGGCTCGCCAGCCTGATCCTTAGCTGGCTTCTAACTGGCTCCATTCTCACTGGCCAGGGATAAATCTGCTGCGGAGAAGAGGAGGCAGTTGATCCAGGAGTCCAAGTTCTTGGGTGGTGACATGGAGCACACTCACTTGGTGAAGGGTCTGGACTTCGCGCTGTTGCAGAAGGTGAGCGCAGACACCACTGGGCTGCTCTTCTGCCCTGCCCTCCCCCACGGGCAGAGGGTGGTAGTTCCAGTCCCAGGTGCTCTGATCTTGGCAGTGTGGATTTCCCTTTGTGGGAAGGGTTGCTAAAGGGTCTGGGCACTGATGGCAGTGGCCGGGGTTGGCTGTAATGCGTGGATGTTCTCCACATCCAGGTACGGGCTGAGATCGCCAGCAAGGAGAAGGAGGAGGAAGAAATGATGGAGAAGCCCCAGAAAGAGACTAAGTGAGTGGTTGAGGACTTTGGACTTCTCAAAAAGGATTTTGCAGCTGCCTCACAGAGAGGAGGAGGCAGTGGAGGCGTTTGCTTGGCTTAATACTTTTGGTTTCTGTTTTCATTCAGGAAAGACGAAGATCCCGAGAACAAAATTGAATTTAAGACCCGGCTGGGTAAGACTGTGTGGGTGTGGCTGTTCCCCACCTTTTGTTGTGCCGTGAATGTGGGAGAAATCCTGGAGGGTGAATGGAGGAATGAAAACCTTCAGTCATTGGAGGGAGTCCTGGATTTGAGGGCTGTAGGAAGTGTGTCGCTTAGGAGGCGATTCTTGTGTTGCTGATA